GCTCCCGGCATGCCCATGGGGCCAGAGAGCGTAGGTGTCCCAGGGCGTAGGCGTCCCAGGGCGTAGGTGTCCCAGTGTGTAGGTGTCCCAGCATGTAGGTGTCCCAGCATGTAGGTGTCCCAGGGCGTAGGTGTCCCAGCGTGTAGGTGTCCCAGGGCGTAGGTGTCCCAGGGTGTAGGTGTCCCAGCGTGTAGGTGTCCCAGGGCGTAGGTGTCCCAGGGTGTATCCAGGCATTGGGTTGTTTCACTGCTCTGGGGTTCATGGCCTCCTTTTCTCCCACCCTCCTCCTCTTTGCTGCTGCCTGGATGGGTCCCATCCCTCGTTGGGCTGCAGACCATCAGGCGTAGGTGTCCCAGGGTGTAGGTGTCCCAGCGTGTAGGTGTCCCAGGGCGTAGGTGTCCCAGGGTGTATCCAGGCATTGGGTTGTTTCACTGCTCTGGGGTTCATGGCCTCCTTTTCTCCCACCCTCCTCCTCTTTGCTGCTGCCTGGATGGGTCCCATCCCTCGTTGGGCTGCAGACCATCAGCAATGTGCTGCTCCAGTATGCCGAGATCATCTCCAAGGATTTCGCCTCGTACTGCTCCAAGGAGAAGGAGAAAGTGGTGACGTATCTCCCTTCTGCTTGCCACATGCCCGGTGCCACCAGGCAGGCTGTCCCCACGTGGTGGCCCCAGCCATCGCCCCAGCTCCAGAGCTGGCCCTGTGGCGCAGGCCCTGCCCTCAGTCTCTGTCCGATGGCATCCCTGGAACACTGCCAGGCAGCGCTCCGTGCCATGACTGTCCTTGTGTCCCACAGTGCGTGGTGGGAGGGACCTGGGGCGGTGGGCAGCTGTTCCAGCCACATTCGTTGATGCTGACCCCCCTCTCCCTCCCACCCCTCCAGCCCTGCATCCTGATGAACAACATCCAGCAGCTCCGTGTCCAGCTCGAGAAGATGTTTGAAGCCATGGGTGGGAAGGAGGTACGCATTGGGGGTCTCCACGAGGGAGCCCTGTGGAGGGGCTGGATCAGTCCCTTCTCCCTAGAGGCAGCCCCTTCCCCAGCTCTGCAGCTCTGGGGGCAGACCCCAGTTCCTCACTCCTGCATGCTGTCCCACCCCATGGCACCCTGCTCTCCGACCACATCAGATGATGGGTGGGCTTTGCTCTGCCCAGGGGTGCATTTGGGGTGCAGAGAACCCCCCTGGGCTGGGCCAGGGGCCCTGACAGCTTCTCCATCCTGTCCCTCCTCCAGCTGGACACAGAAGCCAGCAATATCCTCAAGGAACTGCAGGTGAAGCTCAACAATGTCCTGGATGAGCTGAGCCGAGTCTTTGCCACCAGGTACGCCCAGGCGAGAGGGTGTGGGCAGCAGGCCAAGGAGAGGTTTGGGGGTTCAGGAGCTGCAGCTGGGAACAGGCTGGTGTCTCTGCTTGGCCAAGTGGGTCCTGGGTGCAGTCATGGGGGATGCTGAGCTGCCTGGGTGTTGTGGTCTCCAGTTTCCAGCCACACATTGAGGAGTGCGTGAAGCAGATGGGCGACATCCTGGGCCAGGTGAAGGGCACCGGCAACGTCCCTGCCAGCACCTGCAGCAGCGTTGCGCAGGATGCTGACAATGTCCTGCAGCCCATCATGGACCTCCTGGACAGCAAGTGAGTGCGGGGGGCAGCAGGGACCCCCACCCTCCCCAGCGCCCTTGACACACACCGGGAGTGTGGGGGACCTGCAGGGTCAAGGGTGCCGTGCTGGGGACTTCAGCCCCATCCCCTCTCTGCAGTCTGACGCTCTTTGCCAAGATCTGCGAGAAGACGGTGCTGAAGCGGGTGCTGAAGGAGCTCTGGAAGCTGGTGATGAACACAATGGAGAAGACCATCGTCCTGCCCCCGCTCACGGACCAGACGGTGAGTGACAGGGAAGGGGACCAGGGATGGGGGACCCTGGAGCTGAGCCGCAGGTGGCTGCTTGGGGCCGGTGTGGGACCTTGCTGGCCAGGTGCCCTCACTGGCAGCTGAGGGGGTGGGGGCTTGGGTGGCCTCCCCAAACCTGCCCCCAGCTCATGGCCAGGAAAGGGACAGAGGGGAGAAAGGTCATCTGTGACCAAGGTGCCCGGTGCAGCCCAGCACCCTCTTGGATGGCTTTGCCAAAGGGACCTTCCTGCCATCTCCATGGTGGCACCAGGAGGGGGCACTGGTCCTTTCCTCTCCATCCTTCCCACTGAGCCGGGCAGTGTCCTGTGCCATGCTCAGCGCCGGCCGTGGGCACAGTCCCTGTGCCGTGGGGTGAATGAGGAGGCTCTGGAAGTGCCAGGAGCCGCTGCACATTGGCCTTGCTGGGGGGCTGGGGTCACCTGGGGAGCAGGGACTGGCTTTGGGGATGGGGGTTATGTGGGGGGGGGGGGGGCATGTCCCCACAGCAGGGCTGAACCTTGCCATGCTCATGGGTGGAACAGGCTCTAGGGGAGCAGAACAAAGCCCTGAAATGGTTCCTCCTCGGAGGGAGGTCACCTGCAGGCTCCGAGGCTCCGCATTGCATCTCTGTGTGTCTGTCCTCCTCCCATGTAGCCATGCACCCTGCAGCATCCCGGGGTGGCTGTTCTCCAGGGTTCAGGGAGGGATGGGTGACACCAAAGGCTCTGAGCCAGCGCCACATCTGGTCCTGTCACTCTCGGTGGCTTTTGTCACTGTCACAAAGCTGGGCTCAGGCTCTTATTTGGAGTCCCTGGAGCCAGTGGCCGCTGTGTCGCCTCTCTGGGGCTGCAGGGCTCCTCGTGCTGTCTGTGAGGGACGGTGCGTTGGTGGCCTGTCAGCCCTCAGTGGTGCCACCTCACTGGTACCTTGTCACAGCCCAGCCTTGCATTGCTCCCGGCCAGGCTCACACACCCTTGGCCAAATCTAGCAGGAACGCCAGTGCCACTGGGTCCCAGTTGCCATCCCAGTCCCTATCCCTGTCCCCTCCCAGCTGCGTGTGGCTATGCCATGCTCTGGAGGCAGCAAGCCCTGTGCTGAGGGCGGAGGAGGTGGCATGGACGCGTGGATCTGCCGGGCAATTTTCCTGAGGGCAGGCAGCCCTTGGAGGGGGCTGTGCTGGGGCCGGGGCCCCTGCAGGGGCCGGCCCAGCCAGGGCAGCTCTGGGCTCCAGCCTGGGGCTGGCTGGGCGCGTTGGTGGCACAGGGCTGTGTGTCAGAGCCGAATATCAGGTGGGGTCCCCTGGCTCCCTGGAGCTGAATCCCCCTGGGGCAGAGCCCCCTGCCACGGTGAGGAAGGACTGGGCAGGCTGGGATGGGACCACTTTGGGGCTGTGGACACCTGCGATGCTGGTGGCAGGGCAGCAAAGCTGAGAGCTGTTCACGCCACGGTTGTTCTCTCCAATTGCTCCGCTCGCCTTTCAATGGCAGATGATAGTAAGTACGGCAGCTCCCTGTCTGTCTGTCTGTCTGTCCGCTGTGTGTCGGTCCTGGCCTCGCCGGTTTTTGTCTTGTGTGGCTGCCCGTGCCCTGCCTATGCCCTCCTCCAGCTCCTGATTTGGTCCACCTCTGTGGTCCCCATCCTCATGCTGCCCGCTTGGCACTGGCTCCCGGTGGGCACTGGCCCCTGGCCCTGGCTGGGTTTGGGGGGTGGAAGGGTCCTGGGCAGATTTGTGGCGCCTGGAGGTGGGGAGGTGCAAGGGTTAGCGACGGGGTGGGAGGGGATGGTGGTGGGGCAGTGCCACGTAGTCAGGGACAGCCAAACCCAGGCTGCTCCCATCTTCTTGCTCCTTGCTGAGGGTGACAGAGGCCACTGGAGATGTGAGCAAGGAGCGGTGCGTGCCTGGGGTGCTCTTCCTGACCCCTTCTGCCTCGGTTTCCCCTTGAGGCCCCCTTGAGGCTGGGGTGTGGCTCTGGAGGGGGCCGAGGGCAGAGGCTGTCCCTGCCTGTGGCCGTGGGCTTGTGCCCCGTGGGGCAAGGGAAGGGCCGTGTCCACCCCCAGTCCTGCCCCAACTCCTGTGTCGACTGCAGGCACCTTCGCCAGAAGGAGCAGTGGTGTGGGCGTCGGTGGTTGGGTGCTGGGTGCCAATCCCTGTGGGGGCAAATGCCCGTCCCATGTCCCGCAACACCGTTTGTTTCCAGCAGCATTTGGAGAGACCCCAGGGGCTGAGCCTCTCCTCGGAGCTCACGGGGACCCCATGTCCCAGCCTTGCTGAGGCTGCTGGGGGCCTGGGGTGGCGTCAGCCCTATGGGGTACAGGTCCTCTCGTTCACCCATCGCCCCCCGTTCCTCAGTTTCCTTCCAGGGCAAGAAACCCTCCTGGCTGCCCCTGCTTGCCCCCAGCTGTGCTCCTTGTCCCTCCCGCAGGCTTCCCTGCCAGCTGACCCCTCTGCTGTCCCCTCCTGCTTTGGATGTGCCCCAGCCCCCCTGAGACACTGGCTGGGACCCCCCCCATGGCACCACTGCTCTTGCCACTGCTGGGCCTGGGGCAATGTGGGGCTGTCACTGGGCCCAGCACCGCATGGACCAGAACTCTGCCGCCCTCCCCAGCGGGCATCTGCCAGAGTTGGAGGGGGCTGTAGGGCACCGAGGACTGCCCCCGCACAGCGCCTGCTGGCTCCTGCCTTCCTAAATCCCAGTGGGGGCTGGTCCCCCATGGGCTGAGCATCCGTGTATCATGGCAGGGACCAGATACCCGTAAGCTCAGCATCCCAGTGTGGGGACCAGGTCCCCATCAGTGCAACATCCTGCATTCCAGCAGTGACCAGTTGGCCCAGCATCCCAAATACACCAGTCCCTTCTCTGACCCAGCATCCCTCTGCGGACCAGTCTCCCACTAACCCAGTACCCCAGTGGAGACCAAACCCCCATGGGCCGAGCACCCCAACAGTGCCCCACTGGCCCTGGCTGTCCTTTAGGGGATCAGCGACGTCTTTGCCGCTGGCCTGTGGCCACCCCACATGCCCAGCCTTGCCCTGCACCCCCTGTGCCCTGCCCCACACTGTCCCCCCACCCCCCCACTCAACCTCTGACGTTGCTTCTACAGGGCACGCTCTTGAGAAAACATGGCAAGGGGACAGAGAAGGTAAATAGCTGTGGGCTCCATGTGTGTCATCGCCCCGTGGCCACGCTCGTGGCCCCACACCCGCCTGCTGTGGAGGTCTAGGCTTGTCCGTGCTTCCTCTGTCGTGCTGTCTGGATGTGCCGTTGCCTGCGTGGCGTGCTGTCGTGTTGAGGTGTGCCGTGTTGTCTGGGACGTGCTGCCTGTGCGCAGGATGGGGGCAGTGACCTGTTTCTGTGTGTTGCCCAGGGTAGGGAGCGGGTGTCGTGTTGTGTTTAGCTCCCGTGGGTGGGTACGTGGGGTGTTGCCTGTCCCTGGGCAGGCACTGGGGGATGCTGCCCTGCAGCACTCAGCACCCTTCTGGGTGCCTGGCTGGGACAGTGGGGACAGGGTCCCCAAGCACGGGAGATCCTGGGCACAAACCCATCCCCCTGCTGGGGGCTCAGGAAGAGGTGACCCCCGGGGTGCTGAGCCATGCTGGGGGTGTTCAGGGCCCGCTGGGGGCCACGGGGCTGCTGAGATCCCCTGGACCTCTGAGCCTACTCCCCCCTGATGCTTGAGGGGCCTCAGCAAGACTCATGGAGCCCCCAAACGTGCCAAAAGGCTTTCTCCAGGCACACGGGCTCTGTCTGTGGGTGCTCCATGCTGCCGGGCTGGGGGCCCAGCACAGCCCTTCAGGCTGCCTCTCCCAAAACCTGGCTCTTGGGAAGAGCCGTGCTGGCATCCATCTGGGCAACGCCTGCAGCTTGCCCCCGCTCCCCTCTGGGGACCTGCTGGGTCCTGCCCCAGTTTGCTGAGCGTGCTGGGTGAGCTGCTGTCCTCCACCTGCGGCTATTTCCCCAGCCCCAAGGTGGGGAGCAAGCCTGCCCCTGCTCAGGAAGAGGCCTGGCACACTCATCACAGGTTCACGACCAAGTGCCCGGGGCTGGGCCTTTGCAGGTGGGAACTGGTGGCAGTGGCACCAGCAGAGAACTGGGTGCATCCAGAGGAGAGTACAGGGCCAGAGCCTGCGTGGCCAGGGGATGAGGGGGGCCTGGACCCGTGGCTGGCCGCTGCTGGGGCCACCAGTAACTGTCCCTTGCTGTTCTTTTCCAGAGCAGGGTGAAGCTGCCCAGTCACACTGAAGTAAGGACATGGCTCTTCTGTTCCCCACTTGGCTCTGGCCCCTCTTTCGCCTCCTCCCCATCCCTTGTCCCATGCGCTGCAGGGTGGGGGGTCCCAGCTCAGAACAGTGTTCCCTCACGCTCTGTTTGGGTGACACCAGTGTCCCCAGCTCCCAGCCTGTTCGCTGGCTGGGGGAGATGGGGAC